CCCCCCCCCACCCCCGAGTTGGTTTTTATCCCATTCCTCTCCTTTAGCAGCTAGCTAGAAACTCCAGCTGAGACAACTCAAGCTGAGACGCAGCCTCTCATCGGGGTGTTTGGTGTGCAGCCCTCACCTTGCCGTTCCCCGAGGCTGCTGCAGTTTTCTGCCTGGAGGTGGAAAAGGAGAGATAGAAGGCAGCCTGGTGGATCCGTCCCAGCGGTGTGTGGCAATTAGTCACACTGCTGCTTCCAAAGTCTTTTGTTCAGCGCCTTCATGCATGCCGACACGGTGCACTCCTTTGGACCGATGCACTTTGGCTGGGTGTCTGCAGGCTGTGCCTGCTGCTGCACATCTTCCATCCCTGCCCCCCACAGAATCACAGAATGGCCAGGGTCGGAAGGGACCTCAAGGATCGTGAATCTCCAAGCCCTGCCACACGCAGGGTCACCAACCTCCACATTTAATACTAGACCAGGCTGCCCAGGGCCCCATCCAACCTGGCCTTGAACACCTCCAGGGATGGATGGGGCATCCACAGCCTCTCTGGGCAGCTGTTCCAGCACCTCACCACTCTCTGTAAAGAACTCCCCCCTGGCATGCAACCTAAATCTTACCTCCCTCAACTTAAAACTATTTCCCCTTGTCCTGCAGTTATCTACCCTTCCCCCTCCGCCCTTTTCCTTATGGAAGATAGCTGTGATCCTAATGATAAAATATGCTTTCAGTCCTTCTCTTAGACATATTTACCTATGCGACGGTGTCTTCCTTACAGCAGCTTTGCCAGATCATGGACCTGGTCTGGATCTAAATGTTAGAACTCTATTGAACGTTGTACTGATCCTTATAGTTGTCTTAAAGCTTGACTAACTTTTCTTTTTCTTTTTTTTTTTTTCTTTTTTTTTTTGCTAATCTTTAAACCCTTGGTATTTTTATCCAGCAATGGGGGTGTAGAATTCAAGGACTGGTCTGTGTAACACAGAGGCAGTGTTACCTTCTGTAGTGCAAGCAGACAGAAGCACAGCTAAACACTCAGTTTCAGATGCGTGAGAAGTAATGTCTTCTCTAACATCTTTTTTGTGGATGTTTTCCTATAAATTTAGTTGGTAAAGGTACTTTGCCTTTAAGAATACCTGTCTGGTTTATTTCTGTTCAAGTCCATATATCTGTTTTCATGCTTCTGCTTAGAGTTTCAATTTCTTGTCCTGTACTGCGGTAAAGCTCACTTGCCAGTGAGCTGTGCTGCCTACAGGGCATCTGGTAAAGATGGAACATATGTACTTAAAACGTTCAGACTTCTGAGTGTATGAGAAGTTAATTTTGATGAGGATGACTTCCAAAAGTCATTTTACTTAGAATTATCATTTACACCACCAGATCAAAATATCTGCTGGTCTTTTATTCTGCTTTTTCCAGAGATCAAGTGTGGAGAGTAAACATTACGACTGAAGGTTAAAAGACAGGATTTACTAAATATGCTTATTCTTACAGGCTTCCATTTCTTTTTTTTTTTTTTTTCTTTTTCAGTAGGGTCACCAAATCTTCTGAGCTGTATTGTCCTGTTCTTTTTCTCCTTTCCATTCTTTTTGTCTTTAAGACATACATGGCTCTAAGGACACTCAAGGTTGAACTGTGCTTACACAAACATGCACATATTCCTCACTATTTAGGATGCCCAATTAGCTCCAACAGTTCTCTGTTCTGAGTTGTCACTGTTGGTGCTGGTGTTTGTTAGTTTTCCTTGACGTTGCGTGTAAAAAGTTGCCCATTTTGCATGCTATCAGTGGTGTTTTTAGACTGTATCTTATGTTCTGGGTAAGAGTTGCTCAAGGCATATGGAAACTACTTGTGTTGGCATGACCTGGATACTCAAAGCCATTCCCTCTTGCTGGTACATACAGGTACCTCACTGCCTACCCAGCATAAGTGATAAAAATATAAGTGAGCTGCAGCTGTATGTCACCCAAGCAGATTATTCCTCCATCTCTGTGACCCCTCCATACTAAATCAAAAGGGTGTTACTGTCCAGAGGTATTTGAGGAGACACTGTGGATACAGAGCAGTAACAAAAAGTGGTGTCACATCTTTTATTGTCAGTCTGCATCATCTGTCTTTTTTGTGCAGCTTCTTTTACTGATGGTCGTGCAGTGGTAGCTTAAAAGTTTTCATTTGATGCCCTAATAGTCTTTTGGGCTTATCTTTCGTTTATACCTAGCCATGTTCCAAATAAGCTTGATGGTTGTTTGTCTGTTTGCTTGCAAGGTTCATAAATGGTGGCTGAGGTCTTGCCTGCTTGCGTACTCTCCCTGTTTGGATTTAAACTGTACCAAAGACCTTGAGGAGAATCTGAGCATGGAGACTTGCTTCCCTTTCCTGCAAAGTGACGATAATAACACTGACCTTCTCTGCAGCAGAACTTCCTTTTGCTGTCAGTTGAGGCATATTTTAATTTAGGAGACATCTTCAGTGTTCATTTTCCTGCCCTTGGTGTGGCAGGCAACCGCACTGCAATCATTTCTCATCATTTGATCCATCTCTGCCCCAAACTTAGGAGTCTTTGTTCCTCCTGGGAGGCTTTTTCTCTGGATCCTATGGAGTAGTTCTTCTTCCTCCTCCTTTATCACTTGACCTATAAATGTTGGTCATCCTTTGCATTCTTTGTTTGCTAGGCAAAACAAACTGCAAATTACTTAACTTCTTTGTGTTTCTGTTTCTCCGTTGGTGAACATCAAACTGTAAGATAATATTCAGATCTGGTGATTTTTTGATTTCTTACATAAAATTTCATTAGCTTACATCAATCTTTTTATGCCAGATCTTCAAAAGGCATTATTTGAAATCCATTCCAACATCACTTTTTCTTCCTCGCTCCTTGCTTTTTCACCTTTGCTTATCCTATCCCTCTTCTTTTAATCCTCCAATTAACCAATGCCACATTTGGTGGCACGGTCTACCTGCAGCAAGCCATTTTCCCATTTTAAACTTCTCCCTTATGTAAGGAATGCCATACTGAATTGGACCGAAGGTCCTCTTCCATCTTACCTTCTAGCTGATATTTTTAGGAAACAATGTATGAATACTGAGTGGAGTGATCATTCTTCAGTGTATCCTTCCAGGAAGCGGGATATGAACTTCCATGAACTGTTCAAATCCCATTTTACAATTGCTTATACTTCTTGTGTGTGGCAAGGAATCGCATAGCTTAATATGCATGATGTAACAAAGTACACTTGATTGGTTTAAAATCTGTTACCTAATGAATTTTATTCTGACCTGGGTTCCTGTTGTGAGAGACAATCATTCCTTCTCCATTCACTTTCCAGCACTAGTTGTGGCTTTGTAACACTCTACCTTATCTTAAACCTCTGGCTGTCCTTTCTTCTAAGATGAAGGGCCTCATACAACTGCTTGGTTGTCACACAGAAGCTTTTTCCCATCCCACATAATCTTTTTTTGTCCCCCTTCACTTGTTCTGTACCTTCTTTGAGGTGAGGTGACCAGAACTATCTCCTGGATTCAAGGTGCTGATGCATGAGAGATTACAGTGGCATAACTGTCATTTATTTTTGTGTAATTAGTGTGCTTCAATTTCTGATGTTTCATCTATTTTTTGAATGCCACTGAACTGATAGTTTCAGATGCTTTCCCATAGCAGCACCAAGATAAATGTTGGTGATGGCTTATTTGGGGCTTGTTACCCCATGTGTTGGGAAAAATGAATGCCTATAATGCATTATTCAGCTTCTATTGATGCTGAACTTCATCTGCAGTTCTCAGTAGCTCTTCCTACAGTACTGTGCAGCCAGCATAAAGAGTTGCTGTCATAAGAAATCTTGCAAAATCTCTAAACTTTTGCCCCTCTTTCAGTTTTTTTTTTTGTGGTATCTTGCTGGTAACATTCCTTTAGTGTAGGAGAAATGTTCAATTTTCACCAGTTGTGTTTAAAAAAAAAATAAAACAGTTATTAATATAATGGACTTTATTCTAATCCCAGTACATCCTAATTCAGGAGGAAATGAGATTTCTTCTACTCGTGGTAACTGTGTCTGTATCTGTGCCTTGCTCTGGTTCCCTGTTTCAACATCATCCTTACTGAAAGCAGAAGTTGAACTCAAATCTAATTTCAGAGGAAAAAGAAAAACTTTTTATAAAAATACCATAAAGTTCATGCATCTGTCAGCTTTGAGTTTGGATTTATTCTTGTATTTTCAAGAAATCACAGTGGTCTACTGAGCAAAACCAGCCAGAACTCAGTCAGTTGATTCAAAGAGGCATTCAGGAAACCACAATGACTCATATATAGAAACGGCAGCGCCTTCCTTTGCAGTCAGCTCTAAGAAAGCCTTCCATGTACTTCTCTATTTGGTGTTCCTTCCTATGGGATGGGGCATATAAACAAATCCTGCCATGACTTGTAACTAAGACAAATCTGTACAAAACTCTTGAAGCACTTAGCAACACTTCAGCAACTTGAAGAGGATTAAGATGTGACTACTGAAAGGATGTCGTGAGAAGGAGCATACAACTATTTTGATTCTGCATGGACTTGCAGGGTAGTAAAATATTACTGCTAGTTGTAGTGTAGGATTGCAGTTATGCTATATCATGTCAGTGATTTTCTCTGCGGTTGTTACATAAACAGTCTTGAAAGTAAGGATTAAGTGCTAAGGGTGCTGGTACGAGGTGGACACTGGAGTTATGTGGGGAGATGAGAGCTGTGTGGTTGTTGCTGTGAGGAATGTGCCCTCTAAATTTTGCAGCTGTATTTGTTAACTTTCTTGTTTCTGTGTTCTCTTTCAGCCGTGTTATCCTGCCTGTGTCTGTGGAGGAGGTAAGTCCTTTTCTTGTTGCTTCCTTTCTCTAGGACTGTAAATAAACTTGTGATCAAAGCAGTTTGAACAAAAGCTGGAAAACGCATGAAACAGATACACCAACTTCAGGACTTCTGTATGACCTTAACTCACTGTGTTTTGATCAAATAATTTCATTTCTTAAGACTGAGGTATGAACTACATTCAGATATGATGATAAATCTCAACTTGTCAGACTGTTCTGAAGTGGTTTCCTTTTGATTAATGCAATTGTTCTTTTTCTTTAACATGAAGAGAAAGCTTTAATACAAATTTAAATTACACTTTGGTCTGTGTTTTCCTAGAACTCTTCTGTTGCTCTTTGTCTGTGAATTGAAATCAATTCTTCTGTTCTGTGAGGGTGGTATAGCAAAAGAAAGATTATATCTCTACGTCATAGCACTTTTAAAAACTCTTCTCTAGGTCTTGCAGAAAGCAAGCTTTCTTGTTCTTTATGTAAAGTTCTAATTGAAAGGAGAAATGTCATTTATAATGCAGGCAGTGATTTTGATTGCTAAGCTAGCCAAGGAATAGCTGTGCAGAATCTGTAGCTGATTCTCTGCTCTTTTCTCTGGGAGTTGCAGCTTTCCTTTCCTCTTATGCATTGAACGCTGCTCTTGCAGGGTATCTGACTGCATAAAGGTTGTTGTTGTTTTCTTTTATTGTTGTTTTTATTTGTTTGGTTTTTTTTGTTTTTGCAAGTGCTGATGAAGGGCTTGCTCTAACTCTTAGGAGGAGCTGCAGTAACAGGACTCTTGTTTGTCTTTTCCCTGGATATGGTACAGAGAGTGGTAAGCTGGATCATGGCAGCACTGTTTGAAGCATACTCATTTGTCCATACTATTTTGACAGGGCATACTTCAGAACTTGGTGCAGTGTATTTCGGCAACCATGACACTGCTTGGTAAAACAGAAAACATCTAAGCTGAGTTTCATATTCCTATGGCTCAGTCTGCTCTGACCAGGCATCTCATGCTGATGGCAATCTAGGCTTGTCACCAAAGTGATTTTAGGTCTGCATGCTATCTTGGTGCAGGACTGGGACATACCAAATTTCTGTCTGTCGTGTACTCTATACCTATAGCTTATATGTTTCCTGCATGATTCTGTTTCAAACAATTCTAACAGAGGCTTTACTGAAGTATTAGGTATGTATATTTAGATCTTCTGCTGTGCCTGAATGCTGCTTGTGTGAGGAAGTCCTTGACCAAAGATGGGCTAACACAAACTTCAGCAGGTAAACAAGGAATGCAAACTTGCAAGTGGCAGAGGAAGTGTTTAAGAAAGCTGTGTCTGAATGGTAAAGTACTGCAGAGCTCGATAAATGGAAGCCCTTAGCAGGAGCTCTGCCTCACAGTGATATGCCTCTAGGTATCAAGCTGTGTAATGAGCAAGTTATAGCATCAGTATACAGATTGTTTCTTTGAGGGGGTTAGATTGGATGGAACCCAGCACAGGATTTTTCCGAGTTCTCTGATACTGGGATTAAACTTCATCCAGTTAAAGCGAGTCCCTCGCTATGCTCTTTTCCCTCCCTTGCTGGCTGTTCAGTGCCAGGCGTATTTTCGGCCTTGTGTTCAGGCTGCTTCTGTGGAAACTGGGGTTACAAGTTGTATGTAATTGTGTTGCTCTCTTGCAGCCTCCTTCTCAGAGGATGCGCTGAGGTCATTCCTTTCCTCTGGATCCAAGGAGTACCAGAGAGTTGAGCATATTGAAAAGTCTGTAAAATGCAGTGCAAATAGAAGAGAAGAAACGAGAATTCTAAAGAGAACACCTCAGTATGCTGGGATGAGGAAAATCCACCAACTTATTAAATGCTATTTTTCCCCAAGCTCGTATATTGTTACTGTGTTCCCTTTCCAGGATCTGGTGGTTCTCATGTGATCTGTAGGCTAGGTTTCAGGAAACAGTTCCCTAAGCAGGAAGTTCTTACATTCACTTAGCTTTGCACATGCAGTTGCATCATATGGTAGTTTTAAAGGCATGCCTAAGAAGAAAGTTTATTTCTCTATTAACTGAAGGAACGACTACTGCTTTGGGTCTGTGTATTTTCATCCTCCTTCCTGTGCAGAGAGATGCTGATACATCTGTGCGTCACTTGGTCACTACTCTGTTATCTGTACTACAAAACAGATGTTACAACTTTATTGCTTTCAAGAATTTCCTTGCTTGCAAAACTCTGGGCTCTGGAAACTTGTCGTAGCTCTTTGCTGTGCAGCTCCTCATTGAGCATTTTTGTCTCTAGGAGATGTAATAGGAGGAATTTTTACTTGAGGGTCTGAGAAGTTCACTCCTTCAGCATGCAAATTGTTGCTGGAAGTGTGGTGCTCATACATAATGTAGAGAATGAAAACAGTTGTGTCTTTAAGGCATTGTAATGGGGCTGAGGCAGTCTTCTGTGTTGTTCCATGATATGCCAGGGATTCTCTGTTCAGTCCTTTCTCCCCTAACAAATGGAGCTTAACTGATAGTAAGGAATTCAAGACAAAACCAGTGATCAGGAAGATAGTGGAGAGGTGTTAATAAATTTAGAGTTCAGTGGAAAATAGTTAGCTGTGTAACTGCTACAATGGGGAATAAAACAGTGCAGGAGAGTCCCTGGTGATGACTAAAACTTGAAGGCTGGGGTGTAGGAGTTAGACCATAGCAAACTGTCTTCTACTAGGAAACTCTGCCAAAATTTGGTCCTGCATAAGTGCAGGCTGCAAGCTGCTCTCCTGTGTTATTTCATACATTCTTGTACTACAGGGAACAAAAAGAAGTTAAATATCTTGTTGTATCTTAGATCTTTACCTATACTCTTCTGTTCTCTGACCAACATTGTGTTGCACAGTGCCAACTCTGAGAGCAAGATCTTGAGCTGCTGTGTGGGTGTCTCACCAGCTGCCACTTGGAAATGCTGGTATGGATTAGAGCTGTGTGTACACATTCTGTGCTGCCTCTTTGTTCCTCTCACATGGGAAAGAGCTTGCCAAACACAAAAGACTCTTATTTATTAATTGTTTTCAAAGCTGCTTTCAGGAAAATAACTGTTCTTGAAGATGGCTACATCAAGATCAAGCCTTCTGAATGAAATGTGGTGTGAAGAAGATATGCTTGTCTGCTCTATAAGAGGTGTTGTGACACACATTGAGGGAGGTGACTTCCTGCAGGAGAGATGTTTCAGGGCTGAAAGGATACATCTGTCTGATGCTCTGTTCTTCATGGAGCCAGAATCCATTTTTCTGTTAATTTTCACAAGCAGATGTTCATTGGGACAGTTTTATCTGGGCCTTTTCCTCTTCTATCAACGCGATTAAAGGATCAGAAATAACAGTGAAGATTAAATGTTGAAGATGCCAAACCAAAGGGCTTATCCTCTTAGAGTGTGAACTTTAACCCACGTATTTAAGAGGGAGAAGGAATGAATGAGAAACTGTTACTAAGAGGAATTAGTTTGTGCCTCTGGAGACCTGTCCTAAGACTTGCTGCAAAGCAGTCTGCCCCTCTAGTGCTGTAGTTGCCAAACTCATGTTCTGCTCTCCATGAGTGTACATGTGGCTTTTACCCTACTAAGTCAACTTAGTTCTAAGATTTCACAGCTCTCATGTTTTGCTCTTCTGGAGGAAGGTGAGTGTTCTGTTCTCTGTGGGTCATCTGCAGGGAGTCATAAAGAAAGCAGTGTAGTGCGTGAAATGTCAGAAGGCAGAGAGTTACACTGCAATCCAAAATCCAGACTGAAACCCAATCTGCTGGTGTCAGTGCAAGAACCGTCCAGCCAAATGCGGGGAGCTTTTACAGCTTGGGCCTGCTCCTTCTGGAGAGATGCAGCAGAGCTGTTGCTCTGAGCTAGGAGGAGGTGCTCTGTAGATTGCTTTTGCTATAGACTACTTTTGTTGGATGGATGCTTTTTCCTCTTTTTTTTCTTTTTCTTGATAGGTTGACTAACTGTTAGATTTCCTAACATGCTTCTGTGGTGAGTCTGCATAGAGCACTTGTTTAAGTCCCTCTGATGTGCTTTTTGCTCTGCTCCAGATTAGCTGAGGCCAGGATATCTAATATTGTACCTTTGACATATCTCTACTCTCCCAATGTGAATAAGCATTGTCTTGGAAATATAGCCTTTGTTAGCACTAGTTGGTACAAAAGCTATAGAACTTGGGTTCTGTTTTTATTTTAGATGCTCTGACGATAAAACTTAACCATTGGAGGTGTCTTCCTTCTTCCTCAAGTTGTGTCAGCCTAGCGATGCATTTCTGGGTTGTCAGCTCTGAGTAGTATTCCACTTTTCCAGCTTGAGTTGTATAATGTTAAGTGCCATTCCTGATTCTTTGTGTACAGCTTTGTTCTAGGGAGATGGGAGAAGGCCTAAGCAGCATTCCATTGCTTTGTGGTAAAGCTTTCAGATTATTTTTTTCTTTTTGACCCTGCACTTCTGATATTAATCTCTGTGGTTTACCTTTCGCATAGCCCCTCTTTACTGCCATTGGCAGCAGTTGTTTTGGTGTTCTGAAAACTGTTTCAAGCACTTCCCTTCAACCTTTTGTTTTAACTTCATTGTCAGGCCTAGTCTGCTCACCTGACTCTTCCTCAAAAAGCTCTGCATGAATTTTCTTTTTTTCAGCACATTTTTTTTGAGCTCTGCATCTTCTTTAGCTAGAGGCAAGAGCGTATTGGTCTTCACATCTTCTGCGGATGGGAGAATGTTCTCTCTTCTACACATTCTTGATTTTCTTCTGCTCTTCCCTCTGAAACATGTGGATGCTTCTTCTGAAAGAGATTGTACAGCAGGAAGTAGTGTGAGTGATTTCTGAGAATTAATACAGCCAAGAGAGTGTCTGTAAGTGACTAAAAATGATCTTAAAGGTAAGAATTTTACTGTATGTTGAAATGCTGTTCTTTCCCTGTTAATGGCTTAATGCTCCTGACTAATAGGAGGTGTGACATAGAGGGGAAACCAAACCAAAACCCCACACTAAACAAAGTTAGTAGGAAAAATAGGAGGGGTACAGTGGCAGTGTGGGTCACGTGGGTCACTACTTGATTCAGTTATTTCATTAAATAAAGTTTTCAGAATGAGTTTGCTAATTGAAATAAGAGATCATTTGGACTTGGATCAAGACAACTGAGAAGAAAGAAGATGCATTATTATGGAAGCCCTGACAGAAGTGAGTTTGAACTAGACTCAGAAGGGAAATGGATATTCAGTGAAGACAAATGACCCGATGTGATTAGGGTCAATTTTGACAAGAGAGGTCTAAGTATATTAGTACATCATGAGGGCTAAGAAGAGTAATTTCACTATATTCAGCCTTAAAAAGTAGTAGCGTGTTACTGGAAAACTTTCTGGTGCAAAGCACCTCTTGATTTCAAGCTGATAACTTAGTTGTTCTGAATTGCACTTGCAGGATCCTCATCTCTAGCTCTTCTGGGCTCTGAAACTTTGCACATCTTACGTTTGTATCTTAGAGGATATAAATTAGATGCTACAAGTGCCTTTTGTCTTCTGTCTTCAGTTCTTTCCTACCTTCTCTCCTACGCTTCATTTTGTCAAAAAATATTCATATGGAATTCTTTGGGATAAATTAATGTGTTTATTAGTTTAGGACTGTCGGTGTATTATTCTCCATTTGACTTGAGCAATTGGGACACCTGTGTGCCAAAGCACAAGAAAAAAAGAAAAAGAATGTATGCTGATGTCTCCTATATTTTCTTTAAGTGTTGTCCTATGCTCCTTTCATCCATTTTATATTTTCCTAAATTTGTGTTGGTTCTGAGTTTGAGATTTAAGGGTTAAGGGTAGCTCTCTTATCAGCAGTGCTTTTCTCCTTACTACCACTCAGATGAAATTAAATGAGATGCTTATCTGGGCACACAGCTGGATGTCCTTTTCCCTGCCTTCTCCCAAGAAAATAAATTTATCCTTGACTTCTTCTAGTAAAATTATTATAGTATATGTATTATATAGTAACCACAATAACATGTCTTTAACTTCTTTAGTATCAAGTGGGACAGCTGTATTCTGTGGCAGAAGCCAGTAAAAATGAAACTGGTGGAGGTGAAGGAGTAGAGGTCCTGGTGAATGAACCCTATGAGAGGGATGGAGAGCGTGGGCAGTACACACACAAGATCTACCACTTACAGAGGTATGTGAAATATTCCCAGAGGCAAGCAGGATTAAAAGGCAAAAGCAACTGGAGGAAGATGGGATGGGATTGCAACAACTGTATAAACTATTGATTGTATAAGGGCTGAAGGGCATGGAAGTAAGGTGGAGCATAACAACAGCTGGCACACAGTACAGCTGGAAGTGAGCATTGCTGTAACACCCACCTGCTTCTGTAGGCAGTTGTGGCTGTTGTTCCCAAGAAAATCTGTTTTTTAAAGCAAATGGAATTCTGGTACCCAGTATTTTGATACTTCAATTTGACAAAAGATCAAATGCCTCCTAGATATCAACCTGTGTTCAGCTGATATATTTTCTTTTTTTTTTTTTTTTCTTCCTTTCTTATGTAAATAAGGTTTAAATTAACCTAGCCATCAGTCTCTGGAAATCATAGCACTGGGGCTGAGGAGATCACCACCAGTTCTAGCAGTCTGTGAGTCTCTAGGATTTGTATTTCTGATGATGTTCTACACATCTTGCAGTGTCTGGGCCACTGCTCTTGCTGCATGCAGTTCTCACCAAAGCTTTTCTTCCTGTATCCAAATTTTGCAGCAAAGTGCCAACATTTGTGAGAATGCTGGCCCCTGAAGGAGCTCTGAATATACATGAAAAAGCATGGAATGCCTATCCCTACTGCAGAACTGGTGAGTGTGTGGGGAAGGGCTGTGGATTACTAGCTTTTGGGTCTTTTTTTGGTTGGTTGGTTTTAGGTGGGTAGGAAGGAAGAGGGAAGGAGGCAATCAGTAAGGGAAAGTGTTTCAGATTTTAGATTTCTATATTTTACATCCCTTCTGTGGTCAGGAAAAGCAAAATACAGGGCTGCAGAGTTGAAAGAAAGCTCCGTGTCTGCTGTGCTGCTAATGAATGACAGTGTGTATACATTTCAGTACTGGAAAAGAGCAGACCAAGAAAGGGGTGTTATTCCTACCAAAGAAACAACTGTGCAACATTAATGAAATGGATGTATGAGGAGCTCTTCTGTACTCAAGCACAGCATAGCCTGGTGGAAAAAAAATGGAGAGGAAAAAAAAAAGATGTGAGGGAGAAACAGGGAAGACTTTGATTGTCTCTTCAGTGCAGTTTGGCGTCACCTAGTTGGTATTTTCTTATCTGTGGGATCTAAGATTAGAGAAGGATGAACAGGTAATGCTATAGTTGCTTTAAGGGTGGGACCTTGACACTTATCCAATGATCATCCAGCAAGTGTACATTGTAACTCTGGGTTGAGGCTCTTGGGGCTGTGCAAAGTGCTGGGATGTTTTATTTACTCATCGAAGTTGTCAGCTGCAATCTTTGACCACTGATGTTTTTCAGACTGTTGGTGCTGTGGAACTTGCAACTTTAACTTTGTCTCCAAACTTATGATTGTATCTTTGAAGGATGCATTTCTGGCTATTTGGCAGAGATGCAATTGCAATGGGAACTGTAAACTTCCCATAAACTTTAAAAATTCCAGCTGTTCTTGAAACTCAGTATAGAAACATATATCCTTTTTCAGCAATTTACTTAAAAGAATTTGAAATGAACTGTTTTAAAAGAAAGAAAAAGCTTTGTAGTGGGGGAGGTTAGTATTACTTCAGTACAGGAATTTACCTACAGCAGTGATAGTGGAATGGATGTTTCAAATACCAAGTTCAGTTACTGCCATCAACTGCAGAATGAGGTTTTGACGTGTCTCATTGTTCATTATGCTGAAGCACATTTATTTGCAACCCAGCTTTCTCACTTTTATGGGATTTCCTTTCTGCATATTATTTAAATTAGCTAGTAGGTACCTCGTTTATTTCCATGTCAAGTACATTGAACTGCTTTAAACTCAAACAGTTCTTTCCAATTCTTTAAACCATAAAAGTAGATCTAAGTTGATTTCAATAGATTTTTTGTTAGACATAATACCAATCTATATTCCCCTCCTCCTTTTCTTCTCCACCTGTTTCTGATATAAAGGTGTGGAGTTTCATGTTTTCTTACTCCTAGCTGCTTCTCCTGCAATTCCACACTACTAAAATTCCACTTAAGTGGAAGAAATGTGATACCAAAGTCACATTCAAGATTTCCTATCACAGTCAACAGAATTTTAGGTTTTGGTATGCTAGAAATAACAGTGTAACAAGTGAATAAATAAATAAGAAAACCTTATCTGTAATAAACACCCATATAATATGAAATAGAAAGTGTATTGATGTGGGGGTTGGAGCAGAAGGCAGTTTTTTATGCGGAGGCTGAAAAATCTGTTTAGAGTATCTGCCAGCATGACATGAATCAAGAAAAGCTCAGAAATATTGCAGAAACCTTCACTTGCTAGCACTGGGCAGGAGGGAAGAAACCACCATGTGTGTGCTGTGGGCTGCCTTAAGCACTGTCATTGTACAGCCAGGTATTTGTGCTGTAGGCCAGTGGTGATGGCCTCGTGTGAATCTTTGTGCAGCACAAAGTGCTGTGCTGGCTTCCAGCAACTGCATGGCTTTCAGTCCTCTCAGTGGAATTTGAAGCTTAAGAGCCAGGGGTGCATGAAGAAATAAACCTGGTTTGACAGTGTAGGACTTAGTGGTACTTCTGCATGTGTCCTCCTGCACCAAGGTAATATTAGTGTCCTGTGCTCTGGAACACTGCTTACTTGCACACTACCCATTGCATGCAGCCCTTTAAGTTTGAATAAAACAGCACTTTTTATTAATTGTGCATCACAGTATTATTTTTTTAAATAGACAAGTTGGTCATCCTTACATTTTGTGCTGTATCCTCAGAAAAGCTGTTACTACTTTAATATATATATTATATAACATTGTCAAAGAAGTGCTGCAGATCGAGGAAACTGAAATGCCTCTCTTGTAACTTTCTGCAGTTCTGCATGCTGTAGTGAGTTGTTTTCAAGTGCTTTGAATGGAAGCCTTGCTTTGGTCTTTTGAGCAAATGTAACATGAGATTGTTGCTGTCTACATTTACTTAGTAAAAATGAAGTGAGGAATGCCTGATAGTTATAACCATGGGCTGGTGCCAAGGAGAATGGTGTTTTGGTTCTTTCCTGCAGTCTGACTTAGATATTAGTGTCTTTTCAATACTTTTAGGAAAGCAATTTGATGTGTTCCACTCTTTTGGGTGTCAGCATGAGTTTTCTGTGGTCAAATGTCAAGAAACCCAACAGTTATAAATGAAGCTGGGATGTATAGGCACTATTGTTGGGACACCTCAGGTTCAGGCTCTAATTTGTAGCAATTCGAGCATCTAAATTCTAATGGCTAGTTCTGAAGAGATTCATTTGTTCACTGTACAAACGAGAAATCTTCCCTATAGAGGAGAAATTAGGAAGGCAAACAAATCTGTTCTCAAGCAGCTGCTAATTATGTTGCATAGCTGTGGAAGAGCAGGTTGTCATGGGAAGGTGGGAAGGCTCTGGCTTATTATTGCTGGTTTATTCAGTGTTTTGTGTGGACTAGCAGGAGAGAGTGAAGCGTTCTTTAAGATGAAATTCAGCCTTTTAAAAATTAGCTTCAGCTCTGCTTGCTTATCCTTTCTCACCACCCCAACACATCAACCCAATTAATCAGCCTTCTGTAAAAAAAAAAAAAAAAAAAAAAAAATTTCAAAGGGCTGGGGTTTTAAAGCAGCCCAAGGCCCAAGCATAGGCAATGAGGAGAGTTGGATGTGTGTGATAGGTGATAAGATACTGTCTGCAGTATGTGGGGTTGGAAAGTCATAAGTTCAAACAATCTATCTGCAACAAAATTACTTCTTAGTGAAGTCTTCATATCAAACTTCAGAACAAACCACTAAAGTTCAGCGCCAGCTTCAAACATTGAAGTTGAATTGTTAACATACTTTGGTGGCTCAGGTAGGGCAGATGCTGACTGTTACAGGATCTTTAATTGCTATTCTGTGTTGAATAATTGAGCCTTACTATCCAGGGAGCTCAGTTACCACGAGCAGTAGAGATGCAGAGGGTCTGGTTACTGCATGCAGGAGTGATGAGGTCTGCACTGGCCTGAAATCCAGCGTGTGTTCGCTTCACAACTGCAAGAGGTTTCTTATCTGCAAGCTGAGAAAGGATTGGTAAAATGTCGTCAGCTGAACAAACTTATTCCATCTTCTCATCCAGCTGGCTGTACTCCAGAGAGCAGAAGTGGCAGTACATAATTAATTGCTGCTCCTCTGGGTGTCTCCAAGTCTGAGAATTTCCAGAGGAGAAGGGGGTGAAGTTTACTATTTTATTTATTTATTTGTTTGTTTGTATTTCTAGGGTTGTTTTTTTTACTTCCATAGTGTCTGCTGCTCAAGCTGAAGGTGGGAAGCTGAAGTATCCCTGTTTTGCTGATAGTGGGAGGAGGGTGATGGTTGTTGCATGTTTTTTTTTTTTCACTAAAGTGCTGTATCTCTTTCTTTTCATGTGTTGATTTCTTGGACCAGTTATTACAGTAAGTATTGTTTTTATTGATGATCTGTGGAAGCATGTGTAATGTCTGAAATGAAGCATTCTGGGTAGAAGAAGCTCTTTAGCTTAAGCTAAGGGAATTTTAGCTTTTGTTGTACAATCATGTAGGTTAGACCCTCCCTTCCCAACTGTGGTACATCCACAAACTCCTCATAACAGTGGACAGAGATCCTTCTTTACTACAACGAATCTTAACTGTACACATGGGAACTTACCTTTGCCCAAATAAGCTGTTTAAAAAAGAAGAGCTGGGTCATGGCATTATGTCCAAGTAATCTGTTTTCTGAATTTGATATTTCCTTTTTACATGCTGAGTGTTTCAGAGGCTTCTTTTTATTTCTAATCCCTTGAGGGAGGATAGGGTTACTTTTGGAAGTCCTTTTCTGCTCACAGTGATAATGAGAAATGGAAAGTGTTTTTCCTTACTTGGGAGAACTGTGCTTCTTGTCCCTTCCTTTCCCAGTGTGAAAAGCTCTCAACACATCAGTTTAATATTGAAGAATCGCATCCAACTATATACTCAATGCTAGAGCAGTACTGCATTTGAAAAGACAATTTCTGCCTAGTTAATGTTACCCCTTCTAAATTGTATTTAGAGCAGAAATTCCCCTTTAAATAAAAGCTTGTAATACATAGGGGGAAAACTCAAAACATTTCACTAAAATGATGGAAGTTTAGCTTTTTTTTCTTTTTCATTGAACAACTTGAGATTTACTTAATCTTATGTTATTTGTTGATCCAGCAACTTTTCTAAAAACAAAATGCATGTACAGATAAATCTGATGGTTCCCTAAGTCAAGCTCCAGTCAAGTTTTAACACATTGAGTTGACTTTCCTGCTGCTTACATAGCTAGTAAGAAGACCAGTTATATATGCAAAGGTAACAAGAAGCTTTATTTTGATGACAGAATGAATATATGAAGGATGATTTCCTGATCAAAATTGAAACCTGGCATAAATCAGATCTTGGAACGCAAGAAAATGTAAGTACTTGTATCATATATTTTATTCATGTCTAATATCACAGTGCTGCTTTCCTTACTAGATTAGAGGCTTGCTGCATGGAACTATTAGCAGTACTCCTGGGTTGGAAGTACATGTTGCACTAGCAAAGCAGAGACTCCTGCTTATATGCTAAATTGTCCCCAAATACTTGTTCTGTGTGAACACCTTTGCTTCCTTACAAGATATTGAATGTTTACTGTGCGTACATGAAAGAGGAGCAGTCAGTGTCTGCCTCTCCATATGTTTTTTATTGCCTCAGAATGGGAATGTTGTCATTGAATCAATGACATCAGTCTCGTGCTTTCACTGTAGGTTCATACACTGGATCCAGATGTATGGAAGAATGTAGAAGCTATTTACATAGATATTGCTGATCGATCTCAAGTACTTCCCAAGGTATGGTAGGTGGGTAATAGCTCCCTGGTGTGGGAGGCCTTGTGCTAAAAGAGGGATAATGTATAAACTGTGTTCCTGGGGGTGGTTGCAGGTTACAGGCCAAATAAGAAAAAGTAAAGAGAAGGAAAGACATTCCTTAAACATGTTAAAACAATCTAGAAGAAGAGTTGTTTTGAAAGCATTGTCCAGATTGTCTGTAAAATCTGTTGCTTGGCCTTATAGTACATGTAACAGTATATTATGTGTAGTTTTACAGCTCTGCAGCTGATTACAATGCTTGAACAAGAAAAAACAGCACTGCCTTTTCTATGCAGCAGCTTGTTTAAACCATCTCTTTTTTGAAACTGACCTATGGCTTCACACTGGTGTCTTGAAATTATATAGCTAATTCTTCATTCAAAGAATCACTTTGGATACTATAATAAGCTGAGGGATGTTTCTGTACTCTACTGGAGGAAAACAGACAAAAAAAAAACCCCAAATAACAAGCATGTGTAAATATGAAATGCTATTTGAGGTTTCCCTAATTAGTATTTCTGAATACAGTTCAAATATGGCTAATTTACCTGCTCACAAAGTTGCCTCTGGGTGTTAAAGCAAATCCGGTATTTTTAGTTTTCCTTTCCAATAGAGATGAATTGGTAGCACGTAAGTAGCATCTGATTTCCAGTAGATTAGGCTGTTATTAAGGTATATCTGCAAATACAAACTACTCTGAATTCAGCACTGTCAGAGAGCAAACAAGAACTTACATGAAGCAGAAGACTCTTGTAGAAGATGCTACTGGTTTGTCACTTCTCGCACTGAACAGACGATGCTTTGAGTTTGTTTTCAGTTTAAATGGAGGTAGGAATTGGATACACTCCTCAGTCTTAATCCAGTGTGGATGAAGGGAATGCTGCAAAATGTTTGCTCTGCAACAGGAGGTGTAACTGATGCCTCTTTCTTTTTGGTAGTGGTTGTGAGATTAACTGTGCTTGTTACCTAGTGTGCAATACAGGATCATCATACTCATGGTGCTATGAAAAATACTAGATACCACAGCTCCAGAGTGCATAACTATATCTTGCAGCAGTTGCATTTAGCTTCCAAACAAAAGCAATTTCAGGAAACCTATCCTGTGAGTTTACTTACCTTTTGCTGGTGTTACTACAAAGGAGTTCTTACAGAAGTCATATTGGTTCAATACCATTTCTTCACGTACATCTAGGGCACTGCACAAGGGGAAGAATTGTGTTTCCTTGAAGAGTGCCTGACCTGATGTTAAAGTCTGAAAACAGTAGCTCTTGAGAAAGCAGTTAGAAGTTAATCTTTGCCCACCTGAAAAATACATCCCGTGTGACTGTGGGCAGGGTGATTTGTTTAATCTTGTGTGTCTGTCCAATAGGATTATAAGGCAGAGGAAGATCCAGCAAAATTTAAATCTGTCAAGACTGGACGTGGACCTCTGGGTCCCAACTGGAAGGTATGTTGTGCGTGACTTCAGGAACCATAGCAGTTTGCTTGTGTCTATACTGGGGCTTGGGACCACAGATATGTTTGTCGTGTGCTTGATTTCACTTGTGCAGAGTGAAATGCTGGCCTCAGCTGATAACCTATTCTGAAGTTTAAAGGAAATGGAAAAGTTTGGTACAAATAGAGTAAGTTCTAAGAAATTGCCAGAGCTGTCTGTTCTTCAGCCCAAGAGTTCAGCCAAGTGAATTCAAGGATGAAATAGTTATGAGCAGCAATGTTCAACCTTTCTCTTAAATTCCTATAATCTGGAAACTCTATTTGGACAAATATGATACCGGTATTTAAAAGGGACTTCAGATGAGATCTAAGGAGCTACAGGTGTACAAGCCTAATCTCTAGTAGGCATGCAGAACAGAAGCTGGGATTGATATGATCTGCTTGGGAAGAATGTATATAGCTGCTTCTGTAACAGAAAGCAGGAAAGTCTGCCTGCCTTACCAACCCAGTGGTTTTTTTTTGTTGGTTCTTTTTTTTAAGGCTTCATGATTGTGTGGACAACCCAGCTGATGCAATTTGCATAGGTTCCCAAAAAGTTTTAGATAGGGACTTTGTCAGAAGACTTTTAAGGAAATGAAGTAGCCACATAATGGTGAAAATTTGTAAGTCACAAATTTAATAGAAAAAAAAAAAAGTAGTGGACAAAGGAGGGGAAGTAATGATCTCTTTTCAAAATGGAGGGAAGTCCACCTGTAGAGGTAAGTAGGGTTTATTTTCATCGTGCTCCCGGGTACACTGCAAAAAGGATGAACAAAGATGTGACAAAACTGCTTGAGAAAAGACAGTCTAGGTGTAAGGTTGCAAGATGATTGTGAGGAATTGTAGGTTATGACTGAATGAGCTGCTTTCCTGGAAACATTTGACCTGAGTCCTGAATGACTGTCTTTGTATCTTTGCAGAAGGAGCTGGGGAAGCAGACAGATTGTCCATACATGTGTGCTTACAAATTGGTAACAGTCAAGTTCAAGTGGTGGGGTCTACAAAATAAGATTGAGAACTTTATACAGAAGGTAAGTGAGCTTTGTGCTGAAGAGAGATGTGGAAATGAGGTGTTTCATCTCCCATCTGCTTTAGCATCTCAGGTTGTTCTAATAGTGCATACTAAGAGGTACTAGCTTGATACCTGCATTCACCTCAGCTATATAGTCAAGGCTTTGCTTGATACACTGCAATCAGTTGGATTAAATTTGTAGCTAATCCACAGGTAAGGTTAGTTGATAATTATCTGAATTGTTTGTTGAACTGTTTTGCTCGCGGGCAAGACTTTGTTTGTGAAATGGTTACAGCTTCGGTTATCTGACCTTAATCAGCTGAGGTTTTTTCTGGCAAGTCATAGAGCTCTCAACATCTTTTTCCGTTACCATTCTGCTGCTTGAAGAATCTGTGTTTAATAAATAAGCAGATGGTTCGAAGCTTCATTAACTTAAAATATGAATAATTAGTATCCTGAAAAGAGCTTTTTCTGTAGAAGAATTCGTAAGCCATGAACCGCAGCTAGAATGCTAGACCTTGGAATTGGAGGGTGTGGTTAACCATATTCATGAAATGCCTGTGACTTCAGATTTTAGTGACTCCTTGGTAATTAATGTTGATAAACTACAGTACTGCTTCTGCAAAGGCAGGACTCCATGCTCGCTAAAGGGGAATGATCACACTGCTGCAGGATTTCAAGTATCAGTGACAAATGCCCTGAACAAAGCATTCTTCAATCCATTTCAAAGTAGTCAAGTTGGTTTTGATGAGTTTATCAAATGTGAAACCACAACTGATAAAGCTGAAGTGTCCTTCCCTAATGAGAGCTTTCCAAGAGCCATTATATACCCTTGTCTAGCAATGGTCAACTTATGCCTAATTTATCTCCTGTAAAATGCTAATCAATTGCTCCTAACTTGGAGCAGCTTGTACACATTAGTTACTTCTGCTGAAAGGGTTTCAGCTGTGGAAAACATTATTGTTTAGGGGGGCTTGGGGAGGGGTCACTGCAAAATAGAAAAGCAAGGTAGGTGCAGGCCAATCCTTTGTACTTGCTAACCTCTAGTTTTTAGCAAGTCAAGAATTACTTTTATTCTGTTTCCCTTTTTTATGCTCCTTCAGGCCAACTATCTTGTTCTGAGTAAGCCAAGCCTAGAGTGCTTTATTCAGTCAAAACAATTCCATCAAATCAAAAGAAACTAGTAAAGCATTCACTAATTTTTCCAAGGCACTGTGTAGGCTGCTGCCTAGGCTTGAAAAAAAAAGTGCACTTCTGTGAGGGATTCAAGGCTCTAAATATTCTGTTTAAAACAAATAAAACTGAGCTAGCACCAGTCTCCAGTTTTGGTGGCTATGTAGAAAGATGGGTTAGGGAACTGGTTCTTCAGTGAATGCATCTCTGAAAGTTAAGATCTAGGTAGATTCATTTTAATTGCCCTATGAATAAGTTTGCTTGTGTGTTTTATTCCTCCTCCTTTTGCAGCAAGAAAAGCGTCTCTTCACAAACTTCCATCGGCAGCTCTTTTGCTGGCTTGATAAGTGGGTTGATCTGACTATGGAGGACATCCGTAGGATGGAGGACGAGACCAAGAGACAGCTGGATGAGGTCAGTGGAAAAGCAGGGCACATGTGGGTTGTGTGAGGAACTGTTTCTATCCAGTACAGAGGAAAGACTGCCGCATTGTCATAGCACAGTGTGTATTGTCCTCCTTGTTATTTAGGTCATGCTTCTTGTGGTTTGAATAATTGGCTATGACTCAGTTGTGCTGGCATCTCCTTCAAATCATTAGGGACTTCTCAACTTGTTAAGCCAATAAACACAGTGACCCACAGGTAATGAGGGTATGAGTGTCAATGATTTATTTATCACTTTAATACTTTCTTTTAGTGCTTGCTTAAATCTGAATGGATGTGTTTGTCCTGGTTTCCAAAAAGAAGTTCACTAAAAGCATTTTTAGCTCTAAGTATTTTAAGCAGGTAGTGGGGGTGTATCAGTGGTTCCTTACTATGAGAAACACAAATTTGATTTTAATGAGTCCATTGGCTCCATGATTTGTGTCCTGCACTGCCCCACTCCCTTCCTTCACACACCTCAGGGTAATTTCATTGTCATTTCACCTTCATTCTTCCCATTAGATGGTGGTTCCAGATCCGTAACAGACCTGCAGCTTACCCAGAAACGGTTCCTGGATGTGCATAATCACAAAAACTGTTCTGTGATGCTATGATATTAATAGTCTTACGTAAAGTAGGGATGCTAAACTTGTTCCGCACCAATAAATTTAGAGATTGCATCATGTGAGAATGAATACTTCAATATTTTTTTTCCTCTTTCAGATGAGAGAAAAAGATCCAGTGAAAGGAATGACAGCTGCAGATGACTAACGTGACTTCTTCCTTGTGCACTGTAGGTATCAAGAGAGTTTGACAAAACTCTTGTTTTCTTTCAGAATTATTCTAAAGGAATGTTCTAAAGAAATATTTGGATGAAAAGTGTAAGAAAAATGTTCTGGAACATTCTGTAGATTCTACTGATGTTCTTATTTCAGTAATACATGTGTTTCCATGACTTGAAGCAGAAGTTCTGCCTGCAAATTAGGAATTTCAGATCCCTTGTAAATGCATTTAGAATGTATGTATCTGGCATTGCTTCTTAATAATGTTTAGGAATGGACCAAGGCTTAGAGCAACGACTTGCACATTGCAAGGAAAAAAACTGACAGTTTTAGGGTTTTTTTTAACTGATTTTTCATATATTTCATTATGAGTATGCTAACCTGGGAGAGACAAAGCTGTTATACTGGAGAACATACCTGAATTTGTATTTGCTGGCCAAATCACTAGTCAATATTGTAAGCATTGTGCTAGGTTGTAACTCATAAGCAGTACTGAGAATGTTGAACCTTATTCTGCTAGGGCACAGAACTGGTGACAGTGGTGACAGTGTCTCGCATTTGCTTTCTGAAGGTTCGGTCTCCCTCTTCATGTGGAAAACTTGACTTCCAAGTAGCTCTAAAATGTTTTCCTGTTGTCTCTTTACTCCAGTTTGCAAGACAGTCATCAGGAAGGCCTGGGGAATCCACATTCTTTGACTGAGGACCATCTCTGGATCAAGCCTTTCTATATCCAATCGGCAGGCGATTTTAAATCTCCCATAGCTAATTCTAGATGCCCTTTAATATTGTGAGCAAATAGACCGTCTGGTACCAAGCACTCCAATGTTAGCACGTATATGAAGGAGGTAGCTCCTTGGAGACGTGTGACTTAGAGATCGCTGTATTTACGACTCCTCCCTCCTTTTTTTCATTGTGTTCAGACCAATTTCCATGTGGCCCTGTTTGATTTCCAAGTGACATTTTTAGCTAAAATAGTCTTGTGATGTGGTGACTTAGATTTTTTTTTTTTTTTTTTAATTATTATTATTTTTTCCAACTGGGATAAACTGCCACCTTTGTTCTGCCCAGCCCTTCACCATTCTTTGAATGTCTGTTTGGAGAGGGAAACTGTCAGCATTTTAGAGTGCAAAACTATTCCATAAAATGATAAACTTTAACCCTTGCTCCCAGGGTAGCAAATTTAATGGCATGTGATCTGAATACATAATCAGGAGTAGCCAGACATAGTTCTTGGTCTGCAATGAATATATCATGACATGTGGCTTCTGCACGGCATTACTTTGTTCTGTCTTAGCACACAAGAATTCAAGACTGATTAGAAGCTGCGCTCAGCATCTCCATGCTAGGGCCTTCAGCAGGTGACTGTTGAACTTCAGAGTAGTGATACATGGTCTCTCTGGCCCTGTAGCTACGTTGTCCTTCAGCTGTGTGTGTCAGTCTTACAGAATAATTACAAAAAGTTGCCTGACGTATGTTGCAACTTCCTGGTTTGTTCTTTACTTAAGATTTCTTATAACTGAAAAAGAACTTAAATTATTTTGACTAATAATAGTGTGATTCTCCCTGGACAAATTGAAATGTAGCAAAAAGCTGATGTGCAAGTGAAGTTGTGGTATCTGAATGCGTTCAGGTGCCTGGGTCAGTGGTTCTGCTCAGCAATAATACTCTTCCCATTGCAAGACAGACTAAAGCATCTCCCTTCATGCTCCAGAAAAGCAACTTAGGAGAAACCTGCAGTTGTTTTCCAAGTTATGTCAGTTGTTATAAACTGCAGAGGATACTGCTAACTGATGTGAAGAGCTCTGGGTGTTCAGTGAACTCAAATACTTACTGTAACTATCTGTATGTTGATATCAGCTTCAGACAATCAAATAAGCAGAACAGAATCAAAGAAATGCTGCTTTATTAAATACATATGAGAAAACATGAATTTCCTTGCTTATGCGTAAGGCCCAATATTTGGTTTTATTTATTCCCAAGAGTAGCTTTATCTTCCACTTCCGTATTTGGCAGCACTGACAGGGAATACAGAATGCCAAACAGACACAGGTGTACTGCCACTCTTGAGAAGTCTGTTTGGCACTCTGCAGTACATCCAGCTCCTTCAGCCCTTCATGTCCCTGCAAGCAGGAGCTCCTGCAATAACCCAGGGCTGTGCTGAGCAGGGATGTGCCAGGATCTGGCCTGGTTTTGGTGTGAGAGAAGATGGTGCATGCTCTGGAGGGAGAGGATGGCTTCTGGTTTCTGGGGAGGGGGCAGTTTATCCCTTTATTTTTAGTTTGTTATTTTGCCTTACTCATGTCTAAGTGCAATAAGCTCTGAATTGTACCAGTAACTCTGGCAGGCTCTTCTCAGTGACCTCACATGGCTTTGCGAGGTGGGGAGGGGTGAGGGATTTTTAGCAATGTCACCAGGCAGAACTAAAATTTATTGTAAAATAGATGAAGATACTAAATTGTAATTCTAAAGCTATTTGGGACCAGGATGTTTCATGACATCTCCTGTAGCTGTTCCAGAAGTATTCCAGGACTGTGGGCCCCGCTTTAAAGTTTCTTCAGCTTAAAATATTTTTAATTGAGAATTTCTGCACTGACTTTCTTGTTGTTTGTTGCTTACGTGCTGAGGGATCCTTGCACTTGAGGACAACCTGAGAATACACAGCGTGCTTGTTCTTTAAATTTGTGTTACCCAAGAGGCTTTCCATCCGATGCCACTAATCGCCGTGGAAGCAGATTGTAACATTCCACCCTGCAATCCTTTTTTGATCCTCTGATTTTATCGTAAGAGCTTTTACACAAAGCTTTCCTGATTAGTGACAAAACTGGGAAAAAATGCAGAAACTCCAACCTGACTCTTCCTGTCACACTCCTCCTCTTTTGCTTTTTTTCCTTCTGATTTAATCCTGAGGGCAAGCATCCCTCAGCCCGAGGACAGACAAATCCTGTAAGTACCTTCCACTCTCAGTGCTCGGATCCCACGGCCGAGCACAGCGAAGGTGCCGCTGTTGGTTGCTGATCTGTGATGGATTTTGGACAGCCTCCCCCCCATCCCGCCGTGTCCCCGAGGTGTTTCACTGGGCTGCTGCTCTGCTTTGGGGCCATGGTTGTGCTGTGCCCAGATCCCTGCTGCGTGGGGTCGGGCTGGGGCAGGAACCTCGCTGCAGCCTGGGTCTGGTCGGTGCTCCGGCGGTGCCCGTCTGCCCCCCCCCACGCTGCACCCCTCTGGGTTCATCCCCACTGGGCCTCCCCCCATCGGTTCATTGTGCTCTTTCCTTTGGCAACACACACTTGGTAGAAATGGGTTAGATGATCTCGTTGTTTCTTTCAATGTGAGTTTGTGCCTTTTTTGTCTCCTAATCTTCCAATACAGGCATATTGGAAACGAAATCTAATAAAAATACTAGACAGAGCTTTTCGCCTCCGCGCTCTTTCTTTTAGGGGCGCGGGGGGGCGGCTGTACCGCTTACCCTCGTTGCACAGCGTCCGCAAAGCGCCGTCAACGCGGCGGCGGTCCTCCCAGCCGCGTGGGGGCGCTCCCGCAAGCCGCTGCGCTGCCCCGGCCCCGCCCTTCCCCGTCACGTGGGCCAATAGGAGCCCAGAGGAGCGCTGAGGCAGCGGCGCGGCGGCGGAGGCCCCGCGCTGGGCCGGGAGAGGCCGGGAGCTTCCCGGTGCCCCTCGGAGCGCTTCCCGACCGGATCCCTGGCGGCGGCGGCGGCGGCGGAGACAACGGGCATGGAATCGGTGCAGCGTTCTTCGACGCAGCGAGACGCTGTGAGAGAACTGAGGTGAGCGCTTTGGGTGGGGGGTGAGGCGAGGTCCGGATGCGGTTTTTCGGGAGAAAAGTAGTTAAGTCTTTACTTAATTACCTCAGAATCAGCGAATCGTGCTTCTTAACGGAGAGTTACGGGGCTTGGAGGGGTTACGCGGTCACATGAAATACAGCAGAAAAGCTGATTTGAAAGCGTTGGGGATGGAGAGGGCTGAGGGGGGGCGGTGAGCGATGGGGGTCCGGGGCGGGAAAGCGGGAAGGCGGGAAAGCGGTGCGTGAGGAGAGCGGGGCTGTGAGGGAAGGGCGTGAGGAGAGCTCTGCCTTTCGCTCGTGTCTTGTTGGTGACTTGAGAGCTTCTGCTGAAAGGGTATTTGAGTGGCTAACCGTGAGAGGAAAAATACTGCTAAAAATTTGCTAAAAAATATTGCTAAAAAGAAACAACCCCGCAACCGTTTACTCAGAGGCGTTAAGCGTAGCGTTGTAAACATTATGACTGAAAAAAGCTCTGCTGTTTGATCGTTGCAGGAATTGGGGACGATGCGTGCTGCCTTGCTCGTGCTCAGGGCTGTGCTGGGATTGGTCCTGAGCAGCACCGACAGCTCACGGGGTTTTGGGTGCTGCTTTCCCTGTGGGAAGGTCTGTGCGTGCTGTGCAGGGACAGCTGGTGCTGCTCACACAGCAGATAGCCCTGGGGATGCTCACGGTTAATTGCCTTGCAGAGATGCATGCATTCCTAACTGTACGTTTTTCCTGTGTGCGTAGTCGTGACCTACAATGAAAATGAGTTTTCACGTAAGGATGTACTTGAAATTTTTACTGTAGTCTTTCTCGTGTTCTTTAACGGTCTTAAGCTTAAGGAGGGAAGGTATAGATTGGATGTCAGGGGAAGTTCTTTACAGAGAGAGTGGTGAGGTGCTGGAACAGGCACCCAGAGAGTCTATGGAAGCCCCATCCCTGGAGGTGTTCAAGGCCAGATTGGATGGAGCCCTTGGCAGCCTGCACTGGTACCAGATCTGGAGGATGATGGCCCTGCTTGTGGCAGGGGGTTGGAACTTGATGATCCTTGGTGTCCCTTCCAACCCAAGCCATTGTATGGTTCTGTGATTCTTATTCCTAGTGTGGATACCGGATGTTTTGAATTGAATTTCCACCTATAATGACTGGTGGCTTAAGTGTTAATTCAGTTTTCTTTCCTCAGATAATTGTCTGAAGAAATTAATTGACAGAGTTCCCCAGTGGTACATCTCTTTGACAGTAGGATTAGGATGAGGTCTGCAGCATTACTGACCTTTTTTTTTTTTTTTTTTTCCACGAGGAATTTGTTCTAGAATAACTTTTGGCTGACTGCAGCATATAAAGAGAAACTGTTGTTGAGAGGAATTGTGGCTTGTTGGCTCAGTGAGGGATGTGAGGTCTCTTCCACATATGCTGTGTGTCACCTTGAGCGGGAAGTTGAATGGAACATAAAAATACTGCTCTAATAAGGGGTGTCACTTTGGGATTCATTATTTAATCTTCTAGCAGTGTTTGTAGGGTTCTTTAAGGCAGATGGAAAACGTCTTAGTGTGTGTGTATATATATATATATATTTTTTTCAAGGTTGGTTTGTAACAAAACTGATGGTAAAGTGAATTCCTTTTTAAAAACTCTGATAATAAAAATTACCATTTTACTGAAAACAGAACCAGGATACACATGTTTTTGGTTGAGAGGAGCAGCAAGTTTGCTTAATATTGATTGGAAGTGTGTGCTTGATACTTGGAAGCTGGAGATTATGTTTGTACTAACCTGCAAGTGAAAGCACGTGATTGATTCAGAGCAACAATAAGTTCTTTTAAATTTGAGCTTATAGAATTAACCACGTTAAATCTATTAGGGGGAAACAATTCGGTGTGTGAGGTAGGATGTGGCTGCAGCTTTTGTAACAAGCCTTTGAGTGTGGTGATAGTGCTACAGTGCCACATCTGCATTTCTCCTCCTGCATTAGAAGAATGCTGAATTTCACACGAGTGAAAACTTGATCTGAAAGACCCTTAGCCTTCTGTTTCCTTTATAGTGAGGATCTGAATGGGCTAAACCTTCAGAGCTTAGTTACTTTCTTTTGATCAAATGGCATCCTTGGGTAGCGAAGATGCGTTTCAGGACTCAGCAGCCCTTTCCCTGCATGATTTAGAAAGCCTGCACACCTTCCGCAGCCGTTCTGCGAGTGTCAGCAGCGCAGGGTCCAGCGGCCGCCT